CCACAAAGGAAACACACTTTGAATGACCCTTGGCTGCTGTCTCAGCATTGGGCCAGAACTCATGCACTGAACATGTGAGGAAGTGAAATTCCCTTCTAAATGTGCAAGAGCCCACTGGGTTCTCTTATTATATAAGGTACAGCTTGACTTGGATCAATCATAGGGACTTTAAGGTGCAATCTTAACAATTTCAGTTTTATCCAATCCCTCCTTCTTTCCTTCATTGTGAATCTCCAAACAAGACTGAATAACTTTTCTTAACAAAAAGCACATTCTCATGCTTTCCTTATAACTTTCCTCATCAGAGATACAAGTTAGTTTCCTTGCCTCCCTTATCTCGTGTTAATCATGAACCAGAATTTTAATATTTAGCAGCTTCAATTTCTAGTGGAAATATAAATAGTAAGCAATTTTAACTGGTTTATGTCAGCACTTTTCATAATTTTTAGAACTATGTTTCCTTAGAACACAATTATTAGTGAACAGATCCAAATATACTCAGCTACTCTGTGCTACATAAAAATAACATGCCAAATATATAAACTTATGCTTAATAATTACCATTTTAATAGTTTAACTTACTTAGAAAAGATCTTGACATCAATTCAGTGTGTATATCATAATCTCACACTGAGGTTTCCAGTCACTGAAGAGATTTCTGAAATATGAGGTGTTAACTCGTCAACATTTATATTTACATAATTTTCTCATTTGTACCCATTATGTTTCAATTGTGTGTAGAAAACTAGGCTCATCTTCCACCAGCCAGCCCTATTCCAGCAAGGCCCCTGAGGGGCTCACATGGGCCCTTTCCCAAGCCCTCTCCGCACAGGTGTCCAGGGCCCCAAGCACCCATATAGAACCCAGGACAGAGATAGAAAGAATTCAGAGCAGTGCCCAGGACAGAGCAGGTGGCTGGGGAGACAGTGCCCTTCTTTCTCAGCATCACCAGAGAAGACATACTGGGCCCAAGTGCAACAGAAACATATGTATCCCCAGGCCTCACTAGGGTCACCCACTCGGACCCCAGAGGTTCAAAACCAAGCACACAGAGCAAGACACCTTCCAGATCTCAGGGAGCCCAGCAGCTGCCCCACCTTCTGCAGCTCATCGTCAAACCAAGTGGGCATCAAAAATGTCACTGAAGTAATGAGACTAAAAGCAAAGAGCTAAGACTCACATGTATCCATTTCCTTTTGCGGCTGATGGCTGTGGAGGAATCCAGACCCTGTGTCTTTCTCCTCCCAGCCAAGACCCGAGCTTCACGACCTCATGCATCTAGAAGATGACAAGCTTGCATGGGTTTAAACTGTTCTTATCATAACTAATAATTGACTCAAACATCTGTGTTTTACTGATATTTCTCCCTAAAGTCAATTAAACGGAGCTCTTTCCTACAGTTTAGTGGAAATACCACATCCATGTAATAACACATTTGCTCAGACAACCGAGACACACAGACAGGGACAGGCCTCATGGTCTTCACTTGCCAGTTTCCACGTACCCGAGTGCACGATAAAATAAAACAAGCAGCAGTGAGCAAAAGCCCTGCAGATTCTGCCACCGACTGGAGTTTCTGTCCCCGCAGCCAGACAAGCCGGCCCTCCACTTGTCAGTGGGTCCAGTGCTGCTTCCATCGCTGTCACATAGAGTGACAGCCAACCTGATTCCACTTGTGTAAAGCTGAGTAATTCCAGGCGGTCGCCTTCCCCATCCCCCTCAGGAGGCCCCTCAGTAAAGGCAGGACAGACCACTGCGTCCTGTGTGACTCTGCAGCTATGTCTGCTGCCTTGTAAACCGAGCGTTCTGCACCTGTGTGAATCTGCAACTGTGTGAGCTTTACTACCTCATAAACAGAAGACCCACACCTGTGTGATACTTTAATTAAACTGTGCGACACTGCCCCGGACCCCCCACTGACTTTGCAAAGTTCTGCTGCCGTGAAATTCCACTTGTGCTTCCCCTCTCCCTGAGCCCTCCCCAAATAGAAGAGCCCTCAAAAGGACCCTGAAAACTGTCTTTCCTTGGTCCAGAATTTTTCTGGCGTGAGCCATTCTCGATTGCTGGCTTACGACAAGAAATGGCTCAATTTAATTCAGTGTGGCGCATCTCGACAGTTCCAACTTGCCTGGCCCTATAACGATATGAAGGCCAATGCCAATGCCAAAAAGCTGGGCACTCAATGGAAAAAGGGCAGAGCCCCTCCACAGAAACTCACCCAGGACCCTGGCTCCCCAGGAAGGCAGGGAACCCCCAAGGGGTCTGGAGTACCTCTCCCTGGCTCTTCAAGGAGTCTCCATACCTCCTTTGCGTGATCACTAGAGCTGTTCCAAGAGAAAAATGACCACAACTTGGGTCCTGCAGGTCATAACTGGCTTGACTTGAGACTGTGAAACTGAGGAAGCCGTCTGGACCTAGACTACAGAGTGCTGGGCCCCACCACACGGGCACGTGTTTATTTATAGTCAGAGAAAAAGGTGTGGCACGAGGGACAAGGAACTGGGTACGGAGCTCAACCGCTCACAGCTGGCAACTGTCTCGCAGGGTGGGTAGAGAAGGGGTCACCTGTTACAAGAGGAGGTCACAGCCCAGGATGCGAGACTACATTGACCGTGCACGGCAAAACTTTCAGGCCAGTTACACCACGCATAAGGGCAGCTCGGGCCCTCACTGCGCCTGGCTCCAAGGCTGTCGCGAGCCGGCGACGCAGAGCACTGTCCCGCAGTGCCTCAAACCTGAAAGAGCAGCTGGGTGGAGATGGGGCAGAGAGAAAGGAAGGACACCAAGACAAGAGTCTGATCAAGGCGACATTTATTGCAGGCAGGCATCAGCCTTTTAAAGGAAAAGATCGAACTATTATGGGCTAGGATTACCATAGTAACCTCAACACCCGCTCCACGGGAACGAGGGTTCACACGGGCAAGAGAAAGCAGGCTCAAGAAAAACAAATTAACAACACTTGCAACTAATAATCATGATTCCCACAATAGGTGGAGGAACTTAACAAAATGGAGTTACAACACCTGACTCCTATAGATAACATCAGATCTTTAACAGGAAGCACCTGACTCCTACAGATCTTTGGCTGTCCGAGTTTCTCCCGTGCAGGGTCAAAACAAGTTTAACACGTGCAGTCCTTAAAAAGGAACAAATGTTGTCTTTCAAAAAGCCAGTGGGCCATGGCTGGCTTCCCACACAAGGCGATCTAGGGCAGACCCGAGTACACTAAAGAAGTCCCCAGATGTCTCTGGTGTCTGCAGCCCACATTGCTCCACCCAACCTCTGTGTGGAATTCTGTGCAGGCTCAGACTCACTTTCTACGGCCATTCCGGAGCTTCCGACACTGAAATCCAGCCCAGTCCCCACACACAGTGGCTGGGAAGCACAGCGTCCCGCACCCAGGGTATTGTTGCTCATCACAGGCTACTGATGCCAACCTGCAACCCCTCTGCCGATCAGGTTGGTGATGGCCGGAGGTGCTGCATTTGCATCCAGGTGGTCCCAGAACACGGAACCCCATGCTGCATCACACGCCTGCCTACTCTTACCCTGACCTCTCTCCTCCGCCTGGGAGCGACTCCAACCCTCATTAAGAGGTGGCATTGGGCTGGGGATTTAGCTCAGTGGTTTGGTAGCCTGCCTTGCAAGCGCAAGGATCTGAGTTCAATCCCCGGTACCAAAAAAAAAAAAAAAGAGGGGTATTATGTCTTTATACTATTTGTAAATCATATACATAGAGCCCTGGGCTAGGGAAATAAAAAGAAGCATTGGACATCCAAGCCTATTTCCATTGGGAGCGATTCTACATACTTTGGGGGAAATCATTTCACAGCTAAAATTATGTTCAGTCTTCTTGCCTACAGGCCGGCTAGGACACTGGAAATGTAGCTCCACTTTTTATTTCCCATCACAGCTGAGGACTCAATGGTCCCGTGATGCTGCTCAAGGGCAAGATTACATCAGCTGAAGAACGAAGTAGAAAAGTCTCACCTGGGGAGGGACAAGTTCCGTATCAGCTTAACTCATCCCACCTCCTAGGGTAAGAATGCTCTCCTCACAGCCCTCATTGAAGGAGAGCCTTGTGACCCGAGCTCCACATCAGCATAAGATCCACATAGACACAGGATTACCGCTGCCCCCTTAGTCACCTGTGCCCCTTCCAACTACCGTGTGTACCCAGTAAGCACAGGCTAGCTCGGACAGCCTGTCTTTGCCCACTCTGAGGCACTGACCTCCTGGCGGCCCATCTACTTTGAAATCACACACCTCTCTACTGTCTTTTTTCTCTTTAGCCCTCGCCGTCCCCCTTCAGGCAGTCAGGATCGATCACCCTCCGATACAGTCCTCTTACTCATCAGTATTCCAAAGGCCAGCAGATCATCTGTGTATTTTCTTAAAGTGTGTGTACTTACAGCTACTACTCATCCTCAGCAAGCAAAAGGAGCAGGCAGTGGCCCCGTGTGACTGCAGCTTAGCGGGCTTGGTTCCTACACGCACCATGCCCACGTGGCCAGGCTGTGGTCCACAGTGCTTGGAGCTCTGGTGGATTCTAAACCACTTTCCTTAGCCACTCCGATTCCAGCCCGGAGCCTGCTGTTACTGGCGCTATGAGCTTCATCCTCCTCCCCTCAGCCTGGACAGTGAATGCTGTTCACAGCCCTGATGCTCCTCCTAAGGAGCGGTGAGTGGGTGGGGCGGAAACAGATGACTAAGTAATCATTATGCCCCCCTCCCAAGACGATCCAGCAGAGGCAGGAATGGGCCTCCAGGATGACACCCAGGTCGCTTGCTGAGAAATCTGGGAGGCGGTGAGCAGCGCCTGAGTGGTAGGAAGTAATTCACGACATCACTGTGGGCTCTGTCATTACTGTCACGCACTGCCCTGGATGTGGCTGGGTTTCTTTTATGAGTTTCTTGGCAAATATTTCATAGTTGCTGGTCTTAAGTACAGTTATTTGCTTTAGGATATTGCAAGGATGGATTGGGATACACTGCATTTCTGTGTCCGTACACTAGCAGACATATGGTATTACCTCTGTCAGACCAACTGTAAACACCTGGATCATGAGTGCTGCTACCTTAAAATACGAATCAATGCATCAACCAGCAGGCGTTTATTAAGTACTTGCTATAAGGGAGATGCTGTCCTAGGTGTAAAAGATGGAGAAATGAATGAAGGGTGTGATGCTGTTCTCACAGATCTTAGAAAACCACCACCTTGTTCACACTTTTAACCCTGGGCATGATTACAGTAAAGCATTATATTAACAGAGCCTTTCTGTTATTCCAATTGCTAGTTAAGAAATGCAGGGGCTGGGGATTTAGCTCAGTGGTTCTGCTGCTTGCCTCAAAGGACCCAAGTTTGACCCCGGTATTAAAAAAAAAAGAAAAAGAAATGTAAATAAAAAGTTTCTAGAAATCATTAATTTTGTTGCGGATATTTTGGACGGCTATCAAGAGCCAGGTGAGCACATGTGGGGGGTGACATCACCACTCCTGCTGGCCAGGTGCCTGGGGAGTGGCTGGTGGCGTGGCTCCTCCGGAAGGCCCTGGCCCTCTTGGGTTCTGGCAAACATCATGTCTGCGTTTATATTCAATTCGACATTGTCCTTCTGGCTGGGGGACACCGAACACGTGGAGGTTACTCTAAAAGCAGAAATGCATAAGAGACAAGGACATTAGATATATGGGCCAACCGTTCTAGACCTAGGTTCATTCAGCCGCAATTTTCCCTAGGAGGCATGGTGCGTAGGTTCTGGAAGTATCTGCATGGATGAGAACCAGTGTCGAGCATTTATTTTGGCTCCATTCAAGAGAGGGAAAAGGAGCAAAACACCATATCTGATTCCAACAGTCTCCGCTTGGATTCGACCACGTGGCACCCATGGACTGGCCTGCTGCCTTCTCTTTATCTGGCTAAAGAGGACACGGTAAACTAGGCCTTTCTTCATTTCTGGCTCCAAGGCTGCGACATCTCCCTTGTGAGCAGGGGCTGAGGTCACAAGCTCACATGTCAAAGGTGTTTAAGAGCCACCTGGAGTTGGAGGTGTGAAACACTGGCACGGTGTACTTGTGAGCATGATTTTTCAAAGACACATTTTTTTTGGTTTTGAATGAGATTTTTTTCTCCCTCACTGTGAACAAAGTGTGAATCTGTGAGGGGGCGAGGGGAAGGAGTATTGCAAAGAATGCAGTTTTTTTTAAGGATTAGGGGACTGGAAAAAGAAAAGCAACCTATTCTGTGGATGAGGGTGGGGGCAGATCTGAAGCAGATGATCAGTCCTTTTCCAGGTCTGAAGGTGGCAAGACCTAGCCAAACTCCTCAGCAGGAGACTTGGGGGAGCTGACATAATGAGCAGCAGGGTTCCCAGGGGCACACTGGACCCACCGTTAGTGTGAAGAAACATGTACTTGTCTAGAAAGGGATCCATTAGTGCTATGAGATTTCCTAAGGACCCATGGCCCAAGACAAAAATAAAATGGGACACAACCAACTGAACAAGTGCAGGCCCCTGGCATGAGCCAAAGCATGCCGGAAGTTGTTTCAGGAGCACTCGGGGAGCCCCGCCACCCCCACTCCAGCCACAGGACTCTGCTGCCAGCCAGGGATTCTAGATTTGTGGTGTCTACTGATTGCTTCCTAAAAGGAGGGAATCTAAGTGAAATTTAATTTATTAAGAACTTTTGAGGTACAATAAAAACCCCAGGGGCTAGGGACAGCTCAGTGGTAGAGTGCTTGTCTATACAAACAGCCCTGGGTTTGATCCCCAGCACCTAAAATAAAATAACACTCTGGGCTATTTGAAAATTAAAATTGGGAGTTCTAATGTTTGATTTTTGCTACTGTGGCACATAAATTCCTGTGAAGGGCAGCTTCCAGATCCCCTGATTCCCCTGCAGTGGACGTTGTGTTTAGAACACGACTTTCCAATCTGAAGGTCAATCTTTATAATCTGAAGGTCATTTCTTTTTCTGATCGCCTCATTTTACAATTTATTAAAACAACTCCAATAATTTCAATCGGTCTTTCTCTTCCTAGAATAAGGATTGTGAAATTAAATCTTTGAGATAGTGGGAATTTATTTAGACTTGTACATTTTACAAACTAAAATAACATTTCCTTAAACAATGTTCTGACTGGCGTTGAAGCAAAGTAAGATGTACAGAAAACACTGTGGGAAATTAAATGCAGTGAATAGAATCCTTAGCTAGGAAGGAAGTGCCGGGAGTGATCTTGCCTATGGAGCTGACCACAATTATTGATCTCCTCACTGATGTCATCTCATATAAACAGGCAAACTTTCCTGTGTCTTCCTGCTGGTGGGAAAATAGTTGGATGCTGAGTCAATGCTGGAGAAAACTGACATCTAACTTGGTAGACCAGGGAACTAGTATTTGAGGTCTATAAATCCTGGTGATCTTCATATTGCCCACAACATAGCAGGCAGCTGAGAACTCTGGGGAAGGGCACTCTGAGCATCCCTCATGCTGAGATTTGTAGAGCTCTTTATCACAGATGGTTAAATTCAAACAGAAGTGCAAAAGAAATTGTGGAAACATGCATATTTGTAATATATTTCCTATGTCACAGATAAAATTCCCTCCATACATTTGCCTTATGTCAACATTAAAGCACAAAACATCATGTGAATAGTCCTAAGAAATGTTTAGCTTCAACCTGTGCTCTTCCTTCACCAGTCCCCCAGGGGGGCTCTGATGTCACTCAGGCCAGTTAGAGGACCACTGATGGCTAAGAGAACAGACCCAGCCAGGAGATAAGTGATTGCAGTTCTCCAGGCCAGGGGGAGGAGTGAAGTGGAGGCTCTGCCCACTGGGGCTGGTTTTCTCTCACACCACTGCTTTCCTAGGGGATCAAGGGTATGACTTGCATCCAAAATGCATGGCTACTTTTGGACCTAGAGAAGACTTCCCCTTCTGGGAATACAAAGTCAAAGCTAAGGCCATGTTTATTTAACCTAAGCAAAAGGGTAAAATCTGGAAAGGCCAAAGAGGAGGCTGTCACACTGGCGTGACACTGCTATTTGGTCCTGGCTGGGGGATAGCAATGGGGCACAGCAAGGAGACTGGATGAAGGGCAACAGTTTCATACTCACTCCAATTCCATCCAGATCAGGCCTAAGTGCAGAAATCAGTTCTACAATGAAGGAGTCAGAGTTCACATCTGAAAGTTGGATGACATTCAAAATTCTGAAATACTTGCCTGCTTTGGTAAGGGGTCCAGAAGACGGCAATCATATTTATAAAGTATTAGTATAATATATATTTGAATTTGTAATAGAGTAAACCACCTAAAGGAAAAACATAAAATTGTTATTTATCTGTGAAAGTTGCCGAAGTATGACCATCAAAGAATATCTAGAAAGTATATATATATGTCAAAGCAAATAGACTTTTTATAATTAATCTACTATTAAAAGTAGAGTAGTCATTTATGTTTTAATTAGCACATGCTTGCAATACACAATGTCCACATTCCTTGTGTGGAGCTGGTGCATGCACACAACACATCTTCATTCCTTCCCTCAGCCCTTCCGCTCCCTTCCCCATCTCTCTGTCTCTTGATCCTGTTCCCATCCAAGTCCTTGCAGGTGCTACAAGGAACAGAGGAGACAATTCTGAGGAGTGGAGGGGAGCTGGCCAAGATGGTCCCCAAGGCAGAACCATGACCTGTCCCATGGCGTGGACTGAGAAGGAGTCCTGGGCTATGTGTGGGCCTGCAAGCTATTTATCCATGTCTGCCAGGGGTCGGTGAGGATACGAAGCCAGACAGGCCAGGAGGAGCTGTTCATGGGGGTGAACTGCCATGGGACCCCTTGGAATTATGATCCTGAAAATGCTAGAGCCAGCGATAGATTGTACTTATGGAAAAGTATAAGGCTTCTCTAAGCACACAGGAAACATTCAATAAATACTTCTATCACTGCAAGGGCATGGTAGGCACACGAGTGATATAAACAAGGCCAATGTTCATATTTAAATGAAAAGTTTAAGCATTTTGGAAATATTGTGGGTATTTCAGTTAGAAATGGTGGTTCTCAATGGCTGGGCTAGGGAGGTGGGGGAGATCTAAGCTAAAGGACACAGTTTCAGTTAGTCAGGGGTAAGTTCAAAGATCTATTCTGCATCAAGGCCTTTAATAACAATAGTGTATGTGTCAGAATTGCTAAGACAGTAGCTTCTACGTGCTCTCACCACACACACACACACATACACACACACACAGTACGCGAGGTGATGCACATGTGAAGTGGCTTGAGGTAGCCCTTCTGCAACACGTGTATATGTAACAGCACCATCAGTGTACATGGTTCTCACTTGTCAATGAAAACGAATGCATTAAAAAGAACTCCCAGGGCTCAGTAAAACAAACTTTAGCTCAGTAGTGCCAGCGCCTGACCGAGAAGTGCAAGGTCTTGAGCTTGATCCCTGGTTCCAAAAAAAAAAAAAGAATTTTCAAACAGAAAACTGTATAGTAGGAAAAAAAAATTCTATGGAAGATTAAATGAGGAAAAAAAAGAAATGATAGAAATTTTCCTTAAAAAGGGGTGAAACAATAAGAAATAATACTTACCATTTCATTAAAATAGTTTCCCATTATAAACTATAAGGCATTTCACAGACCCTATAATGTTCTTAAACATGATGACTACATTTTCCTTAAAAATAAACTATAAGACAGGCTTTTGGCCAAATACTATGTGAATTTTAAATTGGAGAGGCTTTAATATGTTTTTTTTTAGTGTTATTAGTTTGGTTATTAAATTAACATTAGCTATTAAATAGTATTAATATTCCTTTTTGTTGTTGTTTTTAGTACCAGGGATCAAACTCATGACCTCCCGCTTGCCAGGCAGGTACTGTGCCACTGAACTAAATCCCTGGCCCAAAAGAGTATTAACATGACTTTTAGTAGTAATTATAAATATTTTGATAGTGTAAAGAAAAAGTAAGCTTAATTAATAATGTGCCATAATAAAATGTGCTGAAAAATCTTATTTTCTCCAAATTTAAATATTTGAATACTCTAGTAAAATTATCTCAATTATCCACAGGCATTTTTTTAGGGGCAGGGGAAAAGAATGGCAAAAATAAAATATGGTATAATTTAGGGTTTTACTATGTTATTGAGTTTTGATGCCTAAAACACAAGAAACTTAATCTGTGACATTAAAAGCTTTTTATGTCAAAGAGAAGGGCTTCATAATTTAGAATTTTTAATAGAAGCTCTCAGAAGCTGAGCTGTGTTTTATGTTAAAAGTATTTCTTAACTTTAATGTCACAACAGTAAAAACAAGGAGGTGTATCATTTATGCCAGATTTGTTTTTTTACACTTACAAGAACATCACACATCTACAAACAAAACACATTAAAATATAAACATGTTGAAGATTCCTCAACTACTTAGTATTTGGGTATTTTTCTTATGGCTCAAGGAACGTTACACAGGCATCAAGAATACAAAACACACTGCTAAGGATGCACAGGGAGAGGGAAGGTGAGAGGGCACAGAACGACCAAAGGATGCAGTGGAGGACGGAAGGCATTCAGTTTGGCAGGAGCAAGCTGGCATGGTGGCGTGTGGAGGGGAAACCTGGAACTCTGGGCTCCTGAGTTTGGCTGGCAGGAGACAGTGCCAGTCTCTACCAGAGTGAAGCTGGCATGGTCGCGTGGAGGGGAAACCTGGAACTCTGGGCTCCTGAGTTTGGCTGGCAGGAGACAGTGCCAGTCTTAACCAGAGTGACAACCAGACATCATTATTTCAGGAACATGCCTGTCTGAAAGAGGATGGAAAAAGAGACAGCACCAAGGAGAGGGTTGGAAAACAGTAAAAATCACCTGACCTGACGCTGGGATGATGAAGATCTGGTTTCAGGGGAGGGAACAGACTGGGAAAGCCAGAAATGGGGGAAGCAGAGGACTCCCAGAGCAGAGCTGACAGAGAAGGAACACAGTTACGAGACGGTCAGGAGGAAGGCAGGGTGAGGGCCGGGGCAGTAGCGATTGCCTGTGAAGATGCTTTGATTTTGAACCTCAGTCTCTCTTAGAGAGAAAATCTCGCTTTTCCTCCTAGCAGTCATGATAGGCAATACCAGCCCAGGCTGGAAAACCACTGCTGTTGCCAGGGGCAGGCGCTGTGAATCGGGCGAGGCCAGTGCGCAGGCGCAGTTTCGCAGGCATCTCGCCTGAGAGCAGTTACTCAAGTTCAAGGGAAAGTGCTTTTCCCATAACCTCGTTCCCTTAAGAAATCTTTTAGGAAGATAAAATCAGCTTGGTGGCAGGAGGTAAATAATCTAGACCCACAGTTTCAGAACTTTATCTTGTATTGGAGTCTCCTGAAGGGTTTGTGGGAATACAGACGTCAGTCACCCCAGGTTCTGATTCAGGAGGTCTGGGGCAGGGCAAGGGAATCTCATTTTCCTACGAGTCTCCAGATACTGTTACTGTCAGTGATATGAAGACCCCATTTTTTTTTCTTTTTGGTACCGGGGATTGAACTCAGGTCCTTGCGCTTGCGAGGCAGGCCACCAAACCGCTGAGCTAAATCCCCGGCCGAAAACCACATTTTGAGACTTGCTAATCTAAAGGGATTTGACAAGCAGAAAGGAAAACTATGTTAGAAGATGTAATTTACCAAACTTTCTAATTTTAGTATACACTATCCCTATGACAAAGACTATCTCAGTGGTAGATGAAATGCCATGGGTGAGGTGTCAGAGTCTGAGCTGGGAATAATGGTAGTAGGGGCACAGTCGAGCGGGCAGGCAGATGCTCTACGGTGGATGAAGAAAGCAAGATGGAATAGAATGGGAAGAGATGAACACTGTAAATTGGAAGATAAGCAAAGGAAGAAAACAGGAAAATAGAAGAGACTAGGAAATTTTACTAGTGGGAAAAAGAGACGAGAAAGCAGATAGGAAAGGTGGGGAACCTCAGCCCTTCTCGATTTGTGATGGACACCCTCTTCTGTGTCATTGAGAACTTGGGCTCAGGCCAGGGGCCCTGTCTTCCAGAATGCAGTTCTAAGAGTGCTCTTACAGCTCCTCCTCCTAGATGGACGAGCTGTCTGTAGACCTTGGGGTACCTCCTTTCAAGTCTTCTTATTCAGGAAAAAGGACCAAGGTGACTTTTGTACCTGATGTTACATAAGGGTCTAACTTTGTTCCTTTAATTATGCACATGGAGATGCAGGCTGACCATACTGTCCCCTCGCTTTGCAAGGCCTCAGCATTCTTGCCAGAAATTACTTGCCCAGGGCCTCTATTCCCTCTTTCTGCCTATTGGTCTCTGTGCCCACACTGCACTACTATATAACTTTCTTCCCACTCCTAGTTGATGAGTGCTTTCACCAGAAAGAGTGTCGACTTTTGTGGGATACTTTTTCTGCATTTTTGTGACAATCATGAGTTTTTTTGTTTTGTTTTGTTTTTTTCTTGGCTCCTTTCTGAAAATCTGAGTCAGAAAAGAACATGTTTTGCCTACAAAATATAAACCACGCTTGAATTGCATCTTTGGTTCTTGACACACCTAAATCATGGCCACATGTGAAGTGTCCAGGTAAAACAGCTACGGAGATAGTGACTGCAACTTTGCACAGGTTTCTGTGTTTCTCTGAGCAAGTCACAACTCCTCAGCCAAGCTGTAAGAGAGCAGCATGGCTGAAAATTAACAGGGGAACCAGCAGCCTGGCACTGGCTCGGATTCACCCCTTCCCCTTCCTCCCTCCTATGCCTGACCTCTTCCTTCTCAGACACTCTGAAAGACAGATGCACCCTTACTGACGTGATAAAAAGAAAAAAACAATTACACAAGTACATATGCTCATTTAATCACACCTACCAGCTGGAGTTGTGGAGCTACATCTGCTAATGTAACATGCGCCTTGGAATAGATAGGATTTTCAGTTAGTTGCTCATTTCTCAAAAACAATTAGTTATTTCTAAGTCTAAAAGGGAGAAAGCTGCAGATAATACCCCTCAAATATAAGACAGTTCAAAGATTATTTACTGGATAAGGCACAACCATTAAAATGACATTAGCACAAATGTATGGGGATGAATGTGCTCAGAGGTGCACAAATCCAAGCACACAGTGGTCTTGGCATCAACAGATAGGTGCACCACTGCATTCCTATGGGATATTTTGAGTTCTTTCCTTCCTTCAAGTCTGGTACCGTGGTACCACAGTGATTCCCATCGGGTCCCCGCCTCTGGGCCCCTCTCCCCTCCTGATGGCAGTTTTCTGTGCCACTGAGCCACAGGGTGCTTCCACGGGCATCTGTTACTCAGTGGTCGTCCGCCTTTGTGTGGCTGGCTATCTCCATGTCCCCACCTGCCAGATCACCTAGTGTCTTGCTGTCTCTACACTTCTAAGGAAGTGGCTTGAGTTGGAATACAAGCTCCTTGAGAGAGGCCTTCATCTGGTTTTTTCTGGGGTGACTCTCAGCACTCTACCCGGACACAGTCTACATTCATTATGTAGTTATTGAATGGCAGAGGAATCATATTACACTGGGTGCCTGAGATTTTTTTTTTAGTAGAATGAGAAAAGCTTCACCAGTCTAGTATTAGCTGTGCCTATGCTTTTGATTAATCTTCCAACAGCAGTGTGATTTTCCTTAGAAATTCAATATCCACTTTGTAGCCTATCATTGCCCTTGGTACTTGAAGAACTCCACCACACACATAGAGTTATAGTTCTAGTCCTGGGAAATCCATGCTTCATTTCTACTTTCTACATACTGCAGCCTGACTCCTATTACATCTTCTTCTCATCAGAGCACGCTGTTCTTCATACACCAATTCATCTTGCCAAGATCACAGTGTTTGTTTTTCACTGGAATTCAACCCACATCAGTTCACACAAGGGTATCCACACTTGCAAGGGTGGGAAGCAGTGGTTGTTGACTTTAGTAGGCCTTCTGGGAGGGGGCACAGAAAGCACATCCCCCTGTGCCCAGAAAGCCAGCTCTCAGAGATGCCTCTGAAGTCCTCTAACACTGGAACCCCCTATTTTCTACCCCTCCGTTGAAAACCCAGGTGAGACCGTCCACTACAAGGAGACTGCATTTTTCATACTACTTTGCAGAAGTCTGGTTGTTCACAGGGCTTTCTCCTGATTGTTTTTCTGGAAACCTCTAGATGTTTCCAGTAGTAGAATTCCCTGAAGACTTCTCTTCCTGTGCTGCTTGGTAGTGCCCAGTGTGGGGATCCTCCTGCAGACCTCTTTGTGGAGTGGCCGCGGTTACTGCGAGGAACTCCAGTTCTCCCATCCTGACTTCTAGTTGGCAGCTCACAGCAGCCACAGAGCTCATGCAGGGAAATCAGTGAAGCCCTCCATGAGCACTCCTGAGCAGGAGCGACCTGCATGGCACTTTACAGCCTAAACCAAGAGGTGCCAGCTGCGTGCGTTCATCACAAGCATGGTTGCCGTTGGCTATGACACAGGCAGCTGTCTCTAACTCGCTGAGTTTTTGGTACATGAGAAAGCAAGCTGGCTCGTGGTACCTCAATTAGGAATGGGTGCAATTTTCTGGTGTTTATCCTAAGGATTTGTGGGATTAAATTTCTAGTGGAAAGATCTATCTTGGTATCCACTGTCTACATGAAGTCATTTGCTCTTCTGAACAATTGTTAGTTTATCTCTTTAAAAACAAAACACTTTATGAGTTGGCTATTTAAAATGAAAGCCCGGAAACTTAACCGAAAACTAGACTCAGTGAGGTTTTTAATAGGTTAGGCATTTTCAGCATTAGTGCTCTACCTATAGATTTCTCTTTTATGGCAGTGGTGGTGAAACTATAGCACACATGTTATTGTGTTTTTCTTTTAAGACAAAAAAATGTTAATGCAGAATTGTGTTTTCTAAGCTAAAAAGTATTCAGGTTTAATTGTAGTATTGTCACTTTGCGATAAAGGAGTAGGTTTTGGGTTGCAGTTTGGCCCTTAATTCCTAAGAAATCCACCATCGCTGTTATATGGTATCATTTTGCCATTCAGACTCAGTTTTCCCAAAGAAAGCTTAATACCTTAGCTCTAAACTTGCTCCACTTCTAATTTGTTCATTCTCACCATCTCTTCCAGCCCTTTAAATTCAAAGCCACAGTCCGCCTTGTGTCCTTATCCTTACTTGATCCCTATAGCTAACTACCTTTGAAATCTGCAGATCTTACCATGCCACGTCTCCTGCATAGAATGTTAACATAACCATGTAATTGAAGCCATGCCCCTCATAGATCCACTCTACCCAAACCATTTTGTGCTTTGTTGGTGTTTTGCGAGCTGTGTACAAATTCCTAATGTAGGTGCTAAAGACCTGGCTAACTGGGCCAATTCCCACTTCTGGTCTTACTCCTCACCGCCCTCTGTCATCTGGCTCCAGTAACTGTCAAACCATAAATGCCTCAGCCACATACTTTGGTGCTTAATGATCCTCTGCTCACTCATTTTGTTTCCACAACCTGCAAGTCTCTTAGCTAACTCTTCAAAGGCCATGCGGTCTAAGGTTACCCTGACCTGTCCAGAGTCCGCAGTGTGGAGCTCAGCCATCTCCCATCCTGCACTCCTGGTGGATCCAGATGGACTCCACATCCTCCTGACCCCATTACATGGTCAAGTCACGTCTTACAGCCACGGCCCCTATGGTGCAAAGGGCACTGTCTTGCATATGGAGCTCAGGACACTCTGAAAATACATAGTTTATTGAAGGAGACCAGCTTAAAACTACACTGAGCAGGCTTTAGATACTATTGATTGGGCTTATGAACTCGGCTATTTATTAAAACTATGAGTCACTCCAAGGCCTAAGTGTGAAGTGCTAAATGAGCCTCTGGCTGGTGTCTGGTGATAGACTTCCCTATGCCAAGGGTCACAACTGAGGTCTCAATGATCAATGAGGTTGTGACGTCTCTGACAGCAAGGAAACACTGCAGCTAAGGAATTATGACTCTGTGACACCATTCTCCAAGATCAAATGTTAGCTAAGTTAACACAGGTGGCTTGTCAGCTATGACCTGCGTGATAACACAGGTGCCTTCTTAACTGTGACCTGTCCTTCACTAGAATACACCGTTATTCCCCTTCTGCAGCCTGGCTCATTGGTGAACTAGTTCTGCTATACCCTACATCTGCCTTTACACCTACCTTGATACAATGTACAATCATACTAGCAAATCCAGAGATCTTCATCTTAGCCAGGAGAGTGAAGATCAATTCCTAGCTCTCAAGCAATAAGCTGCCGTTCATTAGTCTTTTCTCCTTGTTCTTTGTATATTATTTTTTCATCCCCTACTATATTGGGCGATCAGGCATCATCTGATAACTAACTGGCAGTTGGGTGGGCTATCAACCCGACAGTTTTTGTACAAATAGGATAACTACTGAAGGAGTCTCGATGCCATGGTTCCCTTTATTGTACCCACTGCTTTCCAACGCAAGCAAATATCTTTCAGTCCCAGAACTGTGGCAGGAGGTAGGAACAGCAGTCATCAGGCAAACTGGCCACTGGCCCATGCTGGATGTGCCACAACAAAACTGCTCAGTGCCTGGTTTAAAGCACTTCAAGACCAATGGCAAAGGCAGCTGTAATAAACTCTTTAGTTACTATGAGATATTTATGACAAGGATCCTGAAAAAAATACTTTCAGTTTTTGGAGAAGCTATTCTTAAGACACTGATACTAAGCAGGAGACAAAAACAATAAATTTGTAATTGGCTAAAACTGCCTTTCTATAGGACAAGTGACAGAGGTAGGATGAACATGATGGTCATTGTTGCTGTTGGTTAAATTTAAGCCCCCAAAGTATCTGACACTCCATCACAGCAATCAACTTCTCACTATGGAAGAAAAGTCTCTCCTTATAGTGTGATTGGCCAGTTAATGACCCAGCCTAGGACAAATAAGTTGTCTCCAGGGAAACCCCAGGCACCAATTTGCCTGGGCTCAGGTTTCTAGCATTGTTTCTAAAAAAGGAGGTTAGAATTTTCATGGTTGGCTTAAGACTAATGAGAACCATTTGGGAAGAGATGGACATTACTAAAAACACATAAAAGAGGAACAGAATGGATGTTGTAGAGTAGCAGTTATATATACTAACAGAGATTACTGTACTGTTCAAACTGTAAGCACGATTGACTTTTTAAATTCAGAAATTGCAATTTTGGAGATACAAGATTGAATGGACTTCTGTGTTTACAGAGTGAGATGTTTCAAAGAAGTAAATTCTGGAAAGCTGGAGACCACTGTGGTCTTCCTCAGTCCCTGATCCGTGTGTGTGGGGGTGCATGTGCAAAATTGCTTTCCTGCTTGGGTAAGTGACAAAAGCATAATTTTCCTGAAACAAACATTTATACCAGAACAATATATCACACTGAAGGGGAGTCCGCAGGGCCAGGTGAAGTATAAAAGGCATCAAGGGAGAGGTTTTGCAAAAGCAAACGAACCCTGTAAAGAAAAACTAAGTTGCTGCTGTTCTCCACACGAATGATGTCTGAAGACTCCAGTAAGCATCCATGACAGATGCTCTATGTAGTTGAAGAAATACTAATCTGTCTGTGCATAAAGAAAGTAGCACTCACAGCACTGCACACCACCCTGGAAGTCGGATCCTTGAGCCCTGCTCCTCTGGCATCTACCAGTGTCACTTTTACTCTATCAGAAACCACAACACAAAGTCTGACAAATACGTCACCCGGCACCCCAACCAACAGTTAACCGTGCTCTCTTACTTTCCCTGGAGTCTGATGACCAGGCAAAGAGGGGCCAAGCCAGAGCACACTGCTCCAGCTGTCAGTTTGCAAACTCTGGACCATGTGGCCCCTGGGCCTCACTGACCTTCCAGGACACTGGAACTTCCCGGCTCCAAATGCCATGTAGCCTTCCAAGAATGCGTGCTTCTCTAAATTTGCCTCTTTCCAACGTTCCTGTGGGAAGAAAACATTTTTCCCCCAAATCAGTCTTATATAAATAAGCTTCACTTTATTTCTCTAGGCTAAAAATGACCTTGGACAGCTAATCCTTGCACACAGAATTGCAGGGTTGTTGGTAATTTTTTCCAACCTGTTATTAATATCAGACACAATTGTGTTTTTGGAACGTGAACTTTGTAAATAAAAGGTTTAAAAGGAATCGTGTTAAGTGGTAAATGTAAATGATAATGTAAATCAACCACAGAATGGACCTAAGAAGAAGAAGGATATTTATAATAAGGTCTCAGGCTCTGTCACAGAATTGCTCTTGGTAATAAATTTAATATTAACACACTAGCAGCCACCCTGTGGAAGAGAGCATGGTGTGCAGAATGGATGTATCCACAGTTTTGCTGGATGTTTCATCTAAGTGCAGAAAATGAACTGAATGTGTGCCTAAGACTGTTCAGCCTTGGACCCCTAAATCATAAGAAATGGCAGATCAGTGTTTTAATTTGCTTTATTTTTATTTTGTGTATGCCTTGGAAGCCAGTAACCGAAACAACTACCTACCAAATATGAAATAAGTCTTCTTTCAGGGTCAGGTGTTTTTACTTAACACATATTTCTGGTTCCCGATAAAAATTTATTTTAAGGTAGTGGGTGCTCATTTCAAAATTTTTTCTATCTGATCTGAGAATATTGCTCCCTCTATATTGCAAATCTCATTGACTTTATAGTTAACTTTTTGCACAGTTACCAGGTAAATATCATGTAGTCTTAGATAATTTATGAATTCACACTCTTGGCAAAACAAAGAAATTAAAATCAAAGAATAATGTATATTGAAGCATATCACTTACGGGTCTAAATGATTCTGGATCAGGAAAATACTCTGGATTTCTATGTAGCCAAAATGGAGACAACATCAACAAGTCACCGGCTGGAACTGTGTAATTCTATGGTTTAAAAAAAGTTAGTTTTTAAAATCTGCTTTGAAAAGTATTTGGGTCATTAAAAATAATGCCACAACGATATTATGGCAAAGATATAAATATTTTCAAATTGATGGTGAGGAAAAAAATCTAACTTTCCCAGACACATCATCTCTATTATCCAACTTAGGCAATGACTGATTTAAAATTCTGATTATTTCTCACATGTTTACAAGTCTGCTAACACAGACGGAAACATTAGACAAATGTCAGATTTTATAAACTAGTTTAGGTCGACTCTAGTGCAGCTTCTGATGTTTAAGGCTGACCTTTGTGGCAAGTGTTCTTGACAGAAACCATGATGTATCTCTGTGTTGTGGGAGAGAAACATCAGACTTACAGATGGGGACAACAGCCAGAGTAGCACTGAAGACATGCGCAGTGCCATCCTGTCCCTGGGCACACTGACAGGAGTGTCAGGGAAGGGGCAGTAGATTCCTCGTTTTTGTTTTGGATTATTTTTCTTTAATTGCTTGGGAAGACTGATGAAAAGGTAGATGTGGACATTTATTCAGCTGGGTTTGTGTTTGGAGGTCATGGAGCATATGGGACTGAGGATACGCACATGCTTCCTCCAAGGCTATCCTCACAATTCACTGATAAGAGGTTTTCATGATCTGTACACATTATACCAAGAACTAACAATGGTTTCATTGAGTCTCCCTTTCATCACCATATCCAGGAACCACAGAACAAGATTTCCCAAGTTTTGTGATCACCAGGTAGCCCCCAACCTCCCTGAGTGAGGTATTTGAGGTCCCTCCCATGCCATTTATCATAAGCCATGTCTATTTTACTCTGCACAATTTTGGCATGTCCATGATTATTGAAAAATACTTCAAATCTATATATCCAAAAAGATACACCTTACAACTAAAACTAGGCCTTTGTTTGATAGGAGAGTGTGGAGTATGGCGGGGGGGTCATCATCTTTTAAGACAGGTGAAGCCCTGTTGTCTCCAGTGGGACCAAACACTGCTTGAGGCTGGGTGATTTTGGTACCAGCAATGCTGCAGAGCCAGATCCCAAACTGGGAAGAGTGAGGCTCTGGCTGGTGCCCTCTGGCCATTTTCAAAAGGGGAGACCTGTGAGATCTCAATTCTAACTGTTTATTTCATCTCTGCGGGAACTGAGGCTGGAGGAGTCATGCTGACTCTACAGCAGCCACAGAGGTCCCTAATGTGTGTGGGACGTAGGCTGGGGTGGCCCTGACAGGATTTCAGCAGGAACAACCTCCTCTTTACCTTCTGTTGACCTGTGATCATGACTTGGAGTCTGCTGATTGCTGCAGCCTGAAAAGCAGGCTAGTAGAGAAGAGGAGGCTTCAAACAGGTCCTTAGGTACAGAATCCACATTAGCAAGAGGGAGGAGGTAAGAAAGAGGCTCCTATTGCAGCAACAACTACCAGGCTGATGAAGGGCAGAGAAGAATGTCTGATCTGACCTCATCAAAGAAACACTTGGGGCAGGCAGACTCCACGCCCAAGCTATGGAGATGCCTTCTTGGTTTATGTAACAAATGAAGAGAAAGCTCACAAGGAAACATGTCAAGATGGTCCTCTCCATACCTCAAAGAGCTAGGAATAGAGGTTCCATTTGACCCAACCATCCCTCTTCTGGGTATCTTTCCAAAAGAAGTAAAAGAATCTATCACAGGGATATATGCGCACCTATGTTTATAGTGGCACAGTTTGTAATAGCTGACACTTGGAAACAGCCCATTTGCCCATCAGTTGGAGACTGGAGAAAGAAGATGTGGTTTATCTATAAAATAGAATACTACTCAGCCATACAGAATGAGAAATTAAGAGTCATTCATAGGAAAATGGATACATATTGAGGATATACTCCTCAGTGAAATAAGTAAGTCACACATGTATAAATACTGAATAGTTTCTCTGGTGTGAAAAACTATAAGGGTACATATACTCCTAATGATATAATTGACAATGTGAAATAGGAAGAAAAGGGCTAAAGGTGTAGGGAAAGTGGGAAGGGTAGGGGAAAGGAAATAAGGGGAAAGAAAAACATATGAGAAAATGAAAAAATGGAAATAAAGTATTTGTAAATAGGGAAGGGAGGAGGGGGTGAAGGGAGGGCAGCGGTAAGGGGAAAAAATGAGAACCAAGACCTGTCATGTAGAGGTACAAGATCCCAATGATGAATGTAACTGTACTGTATACCTAAAATGTACCAATAAACTCAATGAGAGGAAAAAAAAAAAAAAGATGGTCCTCTCCGGAAGAGCACAGCAAAGGCAGGACTTCCTGTTGTCACTCAAGAAGGGTAGCAAGAGCCAAAAGTGGGTACCAGAAATGCGGTGTCTTGAAGAGAACAGGGAAGTCCTACAAAGGCAAAGGTGAGACAAAGGGGAAGCAAGGAGAGAAAGGGATCGGAGTGTTTATGAGACGGGGACAGTAAAAGTATAGAACGATAGACCACGGTCTCTCATGAACTTAGAAGAGTTCCTCAACAAAATGTCAAAACAAATCCAACAACTTAGAAAAAGAACCATATGCCATGATCAAGCGCGGCCAATTCAGCATTGAAGCATCAGTAAATGCAATCAACCACATCAATAAACTAAACAAGAAAAAACATGATTACATCAAACAATGTAAAAACGCACTGGAGACAATCCAACACCTCTTCACGATAAAATTCTCCGCAAAATAGAAACACAGCAATTTTTTTTAACTTGATAAAGAATATCAACAAAAAAAATCTACATACTTAGCATCATAGTTAATGGTGAAAATGGACATGGTTTTTTTCTTTAAGATGAGAAACAAAGCAGTACTTTGTCAACACAAGCAGTCAACGCTAATGCAGAGCCATCCGTCAAGGCCGCAGTGCAATGAAGTATGAAAAAGAAATAAAAGGCACACAGATCACAAAGTAAAACATAAAAATACTGTCTGCATTAAAAATCCCAAGCAATCTACACAGTCCCAGAGACAAGTAAGTTTGAAAAAGTTGCAGATACACATCAGCACACAAAATCACCTGTATTTCTATGAACAAATAATGCACAATTGAAAAACCAAAATTTAAAAATGCCATTTTCAGAAGTTCCAAAATGAATGAAATATTTAGATATAAGCCTTAAAAAACACCTATAGGATCTTTATGCCCACTGACTGATAAAAAGGCTAAAATTCATCTAATTATCTACTAACCAGAACACAAAAGGGGTTTAAGAAAAATTCAATTAAAAGTTATAGTAGGGCTGGGGATTTAGCTCAGTGGTTCTGCTGCCTGACTCACAAACACAAGGACCCTAGTTCGATCCCTGGTACCCCCAAAAAAGTTATAGTAACAATCAGGGAAATGAAAATATTGCCCTACTTAACTATAAGTAGACTATTTCCCAAAGCATATGCTTTAATACTCATAATTTGAGGTAATAATTGGACTAATTAGAAGCAAAACCTGTCAATATATCACTAAAACTCAATGGTGTAATTTATGTAGGATTTGTTAAATAAACTTTATCATCATTGGAAGGAGAAGTGACTTTGGGACACAATTTGAATTTTTATCTCTTGTGTGTTCTACTGTAAAATTTTCTTTGTCTGAATCCAAGCACTCAAGCTGTGTACAAAAAGGTAAACAAAAGTGGAAGACTAAATGATCTCTCTAGATAATGCAGGCCCTAAATCAACTCATTCTAAAATTTAAAAAAATTGTGCTGCCTGAGGTACTTACAGCCATATCACCCTGAATGTACCCGATCTCATCTGATGTATTCACAAATATTTACCAGAAAGTCTGCCACATGCACAGACCCTTTCCTGCTGCACTTGAGAATTTTCTCCAACTTGTACACAGAAAGGGCCTCTCTTTCACACTCAGTTGCTGACTCTGCTTCTGGGTGACATTATTCATGACATTTCTACCCATCACCACATCTGTAACTTCTTTTTTTTTTTTTGGTACCAAGGGCAGGCCCCTGAATCGCTGAGCTAAATCCCCGGCCCCTCCACACCTGTAACTTCTGACCTGACACTGTCTTCCAGTTACTCCAAAGAGCTTTCTTTAAATCCTGAATTCCTTAGTCTCTTGCTGCTCATAAATTCCTATGGGTTGTGTCAGTAGAGAAGAGATCATCTAATCCACCTGCTTGATTTAAACACTTGATTTAATCACTAGTTTTGATGGAAGGCTTAGACGGACAAAATGATTAAAGAAGGGTTACAGTTTAGCTAAAAGATTTACCAACAGATTAAATTTCTCTATTAATGAAATTGTGCTACACAACCTATAGTTAGCTGTCCAGGGTTACTCAGTACATAATGGAATTATATAATCATGTATGATCTCCAAATTCCAATGACCTTTTTCACAAAAATAGAAAAAATCCTAATATTTATATGGAAGTACAAATGACCTTGAAAAGCCCAAGTAAACTGGATGAAAATGAACAAAGTGGGAGGCATCACACTATTTGACTTCAATATACTATAAAACTATAGTAATCAATACATTATGGTACTGGCATAAAAAGACACATAGAACAATGGAACTGAACAGAGAGCCCGGAAATAAATCTAAACATTTACATTGAACTAATTTTTGACAAAGGTGCCAAGAACACTGCCTTAGTTACTGTTCTCTCATTCTGAGACAAAATGCCCAGCACCCTTAAAGAGGGAAAAGTTTATTTGGCTTCCGGTTTATAGAGGTTTCAGTTCATAATTGGCTGGCTCCAAAGAAGCGATGTCAAACAGGCATCACAGAAGAGAAACAAGATGGCACACAGAAGGTAGCAAAGGCAACAAGGGACTTTAACAGTGTCTTTCTGCTCCTTTTATCTTATTCAGACTACTGGGATTAGGGTGGTGCCAAACCAATCACTCGTGCAGTGGTTTAATAATCACACTCCCTTAATCCTAGAACACACATTCTAGATTTAGCTGCCTTCAAAAAAGACTATACGGCTTTGGGGGGATATCTAGACATAAG